GGAAGCAGGTGGCCAAACACCCGAACAGTATGTGGCCGAGAGGTACACACATTATTGATAGGCAGAAATCGGTCACCTTTCTCTTCTTTCCTGGAGGAAAGGGTAGAAGACAGTGAAAGCAACAACAGTTGAAGAGCCAGAAGTCCCTTGACTCGATCCTTGGCTCTTAAAGACCGGCTCCCCTTGTGGTGACTCAGATTCAAAAGTGAAAAGCTGATTGTGAGGCTAACTCGCCACTGGCCCCAGTGAGGGTGAGTCATCTACTAGAAAACATGTTGCATTCCAGGGGCGGAATCTCTATCACAAAAGCTCTATCACAGTCTACTCCAGCTGCTATCACAAAATGCTGTAAGCGGTGTAGCTAAAAAACAATAGCTACTTACTGTGCTGCAGCAATTCTAAGAAGTCTGAGAGCAAGATGTGGCGGATGCAGGGCCTGGTGAAGGACAGAACCTTCTGCCTGCTCCCACCTGGCAGAAGGGCAGAGGTGCTGTCCCGGATCATTGCTATGAGGGCACGGCTGGTGGTCTGAAGGACCGTGTCCCTGCACACACCCCGAAACTTAATCTTCAGTGCACTGGATTAGCTGACTCTCCATTGTCAGTAAGGTTAAGGCCTCAGGAAAGAAGCTACATCAAGCCCTTGACCTTTTTTCCACCCTTCTATCCTTTGACCATATGAGGACATAGCATTCATCCCTTCCAAGCAGGCAGCCACGGGCACCATGTTGGAAGCACGGAGAAGTCCTCACCACACTCCAAACCTTCCAGAAGCTGGACCAGGGACTTTTCTACTGTTTTTAAATCACCCAGTCTGTGGTATTTTATGCAGCAACCAAGTGGGCCAGTCCCATTCAGGAGGGCTCTACCCTCAGCAGACCTAATCTCTTGGTTAAAGATCCTGACTTCTAAGAGCATCATTAGGAGTTAGGATTTCAGCAGATGAATTTTAGGCAAGGAGCAGGGAAACACATTCAAACCATGGCAGTTTCTCCAAAGGCCTTTGAGTGTGACAAGTGTCCTGTGGCCTGGGCAGTTCGAGATTCAGTGTCAAGACTGAGCCAGGGGAGGTGCCCAAGAGATAAAGTTTGAAGAGGGTTCGCTCTCATACCCTTATTCCAGCCCGGACAGGGTTGGTTTTGAGCATGACTTCCAAGAAGTCCTGACTTTCAGTTTCTTCATCTATAAAACGAGAAGGTCAAATTATGCAGCCTGGCTGGTTCTCCAGCTACCACCCTGCTTTCTGGTCACCCAGCTCTTGTGGACACTCAGCCGCCGCTGTCTTTCCCACTAGACTTTTCCCCTTTGTTCTCTAAAGTCCTAGTGATCCTTGATTAGCCTCACTGGCCATGCCTGGTTTGACTTTCAAGGGCTCAGTCATAAGCCACCTAGCAAAGGCAGCCATAAGAACAACGTAACATCTGTTCCAGGCCTTCCTGCAGGACGTGCTTCACATTCCTCCCCTCAAAGCAAAATTGATCGGCCTTGACCTGGGGCCACGCCAGAAAGAGGGCTCCCCCAGGGGCTGGGGTGCCATTCAGGGCCCGGATGAGGTCAGTCACCACATGGTCCTTGGCAGCACAAGGAATGAAAGGCATTTGCTTCCCCTCTTAATTCACAAGAGTTATGAATACCTTGGGTTAAACTGAAAGTTCACATCTTGACAGAAAAGGGCCTAAATAAGAGATAAATAATAGAATCTTTCTCAAAGGGGAAGGGATCAAGAGATGGAGGAAGAGGAGGGAGGGGAGGGAAAGGGGATGAAAAAGGAATTAAGATGTGTTGCGTGCATGCGCCACCCTCACACAAGGAATGCACACTATGTGCTGCACACATGCACTAAGTGAATAAAGGAAGACAAAGCCGATTCCTCTGAGTTAGAGCACCGACAGGGAGGGGTGACAGTGTGAAGAAGGGGTGAGGAAACAAGAGGGCATTGTTTTTCCAGTTCAGTGTCAGGTCTCATCCTTGAGCCCAGCTCCTGGGCCCCATCAGTCCTGCTGAGAATGAGCACTGCTCCAAGGGCAGCTCGATTCCCTGAAACCGCGAAGATGAGTAGAAATATTTTCCCAGTGAAAGTCCCAAGTTCATCTCTTTGTTGCATGCATACCCTCGTCAATGGATGAGGAGCAAGTTAGTTTCTCATTCAAACAGTTGCCCCTAAAACTTTTGAAAGCACTATTACATCCCTTCCAAATGTCTTATTCTTATACAAAAATATCCCCCATTTTTTAAAGCCCACCCCAATACTACAAGTTTTGCATGTATCCTCTCCTCTGCCTCAGCCTGGCTCCCCTATCCTAGAATTACTGTGTCCTGGTGACCTTCACACAGTGTAAGGCCAGACTCTACATGTTAGGTAACTGTGGAGAGAAAAGCAACCATCACTAACTACCATGTAGCTGCTCAGGTTTTCTTTATACTTCCAGAAAGTGCATAATACCTTTGCCTCTCTCCCCTTAGTCTAATGTTCTGGAATAATTATGCCTTCATTTCATATGATGCCAGATTTTTTCATACTTCTTTTAGTGATATTGTGTTTCCTTTGCGAGATGTGTATTAGTGCCATAAATAGTGCACAATACGATTGTGGGAATGGAAACTACTCTATTCGTGACTTGTTCCAGAGGCTTAAGCTGCTAATTATACAATGGTATCTCCCAAACTTTATCCCCAACCTGTATACAGAATTGTGAGGCAACTCTCCATAACCCACACCTGATCCTTTAATAAATCAATGTAAATTCACATGAGTCAACAGCAAATACAAGCCACCCAATTTAAAAGTGAGCAAAGGTCCTGAAAAAGACGTTTTTCCAAAGAAGACACACAAATGCTCAACAGGTATATGAAAAAGTACTGAAGCACACTGACATTGAGAGAAGTCAAACCCAAAACCATAATGAAAGATCACTCCACATCTGCTGGGATGTCTGTTATCAAGCAGATAAGAGATAATAAGTATTAGCAAAGTATAGAGAAAATGAAACCCTTACATTCCATTGGTGGGAATGTAAGTTGGTTTAGCCATTATGAAAGACATTAAAAATATAACTATCATGTGATCATTCTACTACTGCATACACAGTACATCCAAAGAAAGTGAATGAGTATCTCAGAGAGCTGTCTGCATTTCCGTGTTCCCTGCCGACTTGTTTACAATGGCCAAGGTAGTGGGAACAACTTAAGTGTCCACTGGTGGACAGAGAAATGAAGAAATGTGTGGGTATGTATATACACACATGACAGCACACTTAGTAGCATATATAGATCAGGAAACGTCACTCAGCCATATAAAGAAGGAAATCTGGGACATTATGCTAAACTAAATAAACCAGACACATAAAGACAGATACTGCATGATGTCACTTATATGGACTTTTGGACTTTCAGAAGGTTGAACTCAGAACCAGAGAGTAGAATGGTGGCTTCCAGAGGATCAGAGTGGGGAAAATGTAGATTAAAGATATGAGTTTTCAGTTATAGCATGAACAAGTTCTGAAATATAATGTACAGTGTAGTGACTACTGTTAATAATACAGTAAGTCCCCAACTTACAACCACTGGAGTTTCACAGGTAGAATGGACCTCGCATTACAAACATACCCCGATGCAAACAAATCACAGAAGCAGCTCGTGTGTTTGCTGAACACTGTCACATTGTGCTGCTGTGTGCTTACTGCACAGGTGATGATGTGCAGTGGTGCAGTGCTCAATCAGAGCCCAAGATGCCTGGAAGCCAGGAGGAAAAAGCAGTGGTAATGTGGAGGAGATTGATCAAAAGTGGAAAGCAATACACAGTAATACTTCGGTTCACAAATGTTTCTTTTCATGAACAATTCCATTTGAAAACAAGTGTTGGGCAAAATTTTGCTTCTGTTCATGAACTCCACACTGGTTGAGGAACATGACCATAGCATGAATGTGAATGTGGCCATCCTCCCCAGGAATGTGAAACAAAATATATTCGTGAACTGAGGCACCACTGTACACTGTATATTTGTGTCAAAGTGTGCAAGACTCACTTACTGGACTTGCAAGTGAATCTGACTTACAGAGGTTCTCCTGGAACAGAGGTCATTTGTAAGTGAGGACTTACTTGCAATTTCTGAGGACAGTCCTAAGTATTCTCATCTCCCCCCAAAAGGTAAACTATGTGAGCTGATAGATGTGTTCACTAGCTGGGTTGTGATCATCACCTCGCTGTACACATCTCTCACATCATCAGAGCTTATGTACAATTTTTATGTCAAATAAAGTTGAAAAAACATGAGCAAATGTAATGCGATGAACTCTCCCATCACATCCGGAATTCCAGCAGGTCTCACACATCTCCCGCACAGCCCCTCTGGGCCAGTGTCCATCCTCTGCTGCAGACGCCAAGAGCTCTCTGTTTCCATGTTCCTTGCATTGTTTGCACCCCTGAATCTCAGCTGTGCAGAGCCCCAGAGAGCGCTTCTCGTTGGTGCTGATCAGCTTCCCACTGGAGCTGTGCCTCACTTAAACCAGTGTCCTTCCCACCCACACCACACCCTGGGACACTTCTGCCTGCTCTGTCCTCATGCACAGGTCCTCACTCTCCTCTGCCCCCTTCTCCTCTGCTGCTTTGCTTTTCCTCCTGCAGAGCACTCCATCTCCAGACAACTTCCACTCACTCTGTCACTTCTTTGAGGACCTGTTCAAGCACCACCCCACTGCACTCTTCTTCATGATACATCAACATGAACACTATTTTTTGTTGCCTAACTCCTCCAATTATAATATAAAATTTAATAAGCTTATAGTCTGGTGATACAATCTGTTGCATCTGCTCGCAGTAGGTGCTGAATAAATATCCAATGTGTGAATGAATGAGTGAGAAGTGGCAAAGCAGGGAGTGCCCAAGATAATCTGAGATTCAGAGATCATTTCCTCATATGAATTACTTGATGGCAAGGGAGAAATTTGACCTGGAAAGGATAACAAATTTATAAAACAGAAGAGAAGAGTCATGAGACTTACTTCAACTGCTGAAAGGATAGTAGAAGCAGACTCGCATATTCCCTGAGACAAATGTAGAGCTCTCGATTCCAGGCAGTTCCAGGCAGACCAAAGGATGTGGCAGGCATTCATGATGGAATTATACAACACTGTGTCTATGCTGAGATAGGTAAAGTCATGGCTTCTTTGTTGAGTAATCATGTTGTCTTAGTTACTTTTCTCCCGTTGCTGCGACAAAATATCTGGCACCCGAAGGTAAAGAGGGAAAGGTTTATTTAGCTCACATTTTGCAAAAATTTCACTCCATAATCAACTGGCTCCAATGCAAGGTGGCACACAGTAGAGGGGCAACTGTTCATGGTGGCAGAAAACAGCAAAAGCAACAAGCAAGGAGAAGGAGTAAGCCTCTTTTCCCTTATACTGTACACAGGCTACCTGCCCTAGGGCTTGTGTAGCACTCACACCTCCAATCCCAGCACTGGACAATGAACTAATCACAAACTCCAGATTCAGCTGCCTCTAAAATGCCTGCACCCCATGATTGCATGAGATTTTGGGGGAACATCCAGACACAAACCATAACATATGTATAGCTGGAGAAAATTGCCAGTTGCTGATGCCACAAAGATAAGCTGAATAGCTGAATGATATTATTTATTTATATATAATATATAATATCATATATTATATCATATATAATATAATGTATACATATTATATAATATATATTATATTGTATAGATAAAGTGTTGACTTTCTTGCACTCATTAATTAATTCCTGCAAACATTATATCCTCTGCATTTAATGAGCACTCGTTATGAACCAGTCTCTGTGCTAGGTTTTAAGGACACAAAACTTATAATTTAGAATCCCTGTGTTTAAAGGATGGGAATGGACATTTATCCAGGTCTTACTAAGCCTTGTGCATCATAAGTACTTAAAGAAATTTTTTTTAAAACATGGGATGCCTAAATTCAGGCATTCCAGTCCACTCAAACAGCTGCTATAGCCACATACCTTAACTAGGTAATGTATGAACAGTGGATATCTACTGCTTATAGTTCCAGAGGCTAGAAAGTCCAAGGTCAAGATACTAGCACATTTGATGTTCAATTAGACTTCTCTGCTTCCCAGGGGAAATTTCTTGCTGGGTCTTCACATGGTGGAGGGGGCAAACAGGCTCCCCCGAACAGCCTGGTTCATGAGGCACCAGTCCCTTAGGCCCTAAGTCACCTCCCGCAACCCCTGCATCTTAATGCCATTGCCTTGGAGGTTAGGTTTAAACACATGAACTTTGTGGTGATATAAACAGTAAAACCATAACAGTAAACAACCAGTCCGGAGAGATAAATATAATTCTGCCCAATTTATAGATGAGAAAAATAAGATTTGGAGAAGAGAGTTTTAGGTCCCAACTTTCAACATCAGTGAGATTCGTCAGTGAGATTACGTCAGTGAGATGTAATCCCAGCTCTGTCTGACTGCGGAGTCTGTCTGTCTTGCTGTGTGCCCTCTTCCCTCCTCAACGTGCTCAGATGCCTGTGCATGCCTGCGTACACGTGGGAAGTTTGAAGAGGAAGGGTGGAGAACTTCTGCCCAGCCAGGGTTTTGGGGGTGAGGCTTAAAAATGAGTCTCTTTAATCTCCTGCACCAAGTCTCTGAACCGTCCAGGGACTGCCCCAGAGTGCACTGGCCTTGGGTTGAGCTGTCTGGACTCTCAGTGCCAGTTTTCCCAGTGATTAGCTACGTGACCCTGGATAGTCAGCCTTGTTAAACCTTAGCTTCCTCATCCTTAAAACAGAGATGCAATCTGTACCTCTGAAAGGGGATCATTATGAAATTAAATGAGCTCAATCATGTATAATATTTAGCAAAATTCCCGGCACAAATTAAATGACCCATGACCTGCAGCTGTGGGGTGAGGAAGGTAAGAGTGATGTGCATAGCCTGGCTCCTACTACCTGTTGAGGGTGCATCTGTAGGATAAAGGCAGCTTAGCTGCTTCCATTAAGAAACTGCTCCAGGAAGAGCTGGGACCCTGTACTTCACAGGCCACAGTGTGCCGGCTCTGCTCTCAAAGAGGGCCAGGAGGAAGATAGTGTTGCTACCCAGCCCGAGAAGCTGTTATTCTCAGAAAGCCTTTGGTCTTGCTCTGTTCTACATCCTTTTGCAGTGAATACTCCTTGCTAAGGAATTGCCACTCTTTCCCAGGGTCTTGATCTGGAAGCCTATACCGGTACCCATTTATGGATGGTACTGCTATATACCTTTTAAGCTTCCCTTTGCTTCAAGGGGCTGTTCTGCCTTTTGTGCATGTCTCGCTCATGCTTCTGGTGGCTGCTGTGATAGTTCTGCTGAGGCGGGCAGGATACACCCACCCCAGAGCATTTCATCTAAAGGCGGTTTGGTCTGGGACATCCTGCTATTCGGGGAAGACAAAGCAGATTGAAAGCATGTGAAGCTAGTTTCCCAGTGAGGTCAGACACACTCTGCTGATAGAAATCACTCAACGCAGGGCATAGGTGGGGAATGCTCAGGGAGGACTGAGGAGGAAGAAGTGTTGAGATCAAGTGACAACACTTGGGCTTCTTCAAGCAAAGGGTCTGTCTGGGATACCAGCCATAAGAAAATTCAGCTTCGGCACAGATGTCTGTCATGTGGAATAAACCCCCGTGCTTACATTTCAAAATGATTTCCTGGGGCAGGTCTTTGGGAATTCACAACATGTTGTTAAGGCAGCCCTCTGAGAGCTGTGATTCTTTTCCCTGGACTCTGTCCCATTTACTATGAGGAAAACCCAAGAAATGATCTCTTCCTACCCCTGCTTGTGAGCTGGAAAGAAGTGGGAGGATTGCTTCTCTTGAGGATCTACTCTGTGCTTTTCTTAATTATTCTCTAATAGCACAGAAGACTTTACTCGAATCCAGAGAGGAATAGGAATTACTGTCTAAAGAATCAAGGGCCCTGGGCACCGTGATGATGCTGAGAGAGGGCGCTGTTCAAGGTATCTTTCAAGTGGTAAGTGGGAAATTAGAAACCCAGCCAGGGCCGCAGTCATCCCACGGAGTTCAGCTGCTGGTCAGAGGGTTTTTCAAGTTTCTTCAGGTGTGATGTTGGAGCCTCCAAAGGATTTCCTAACGCAAAGAGAGAATGGGGTCATCCTGACACTTGAAACTGATTCAACCAAATCTCACCTGTTACCTTCTGGATGGGGGAGGGAAAGCAGTATCACAGCCATTCAGGCTCTGGAGGAGTTACCACCCCTTGTCCACATTCTGTTGCAGTAGAAAAAGGTTTGCCAAATAAAATACAAAGACATCCAGTTAAATTTGAATTTCAAATAAAGTGAAGCTTTTTTCACGTAAGTATATCTGAAATGTTGTATGAGATGTAATTACACTCAAAATTTTTTTACTGTTAACTGAATTTCAAACTTTACCAGGTATCCTGTGTTTTTATTTTTACTTGCAATCCCTCCACAAGTCAGTAGATGACTTCCTGAGGTTAAGTCCCTCTATAAACACGTGGCACACGACAGCCCACAGAAGGGGTGTGACAGGAGATGCCACCAGGGGTTGAAGCCTCCTATCCCTGGGATCTCACCCAGCTGTTCCATACCTCCTGACCTTTAACCTCTCACTGTTCAGCTCCTGGCGACAAGGCAGGTGGACCCTGAGGCAGACTGCTTCAGTTAGAGCCCCACTTGGCTCCACAGCTTGTTCTCCATTCAGTGTGTAACCTCTGGGTGCTCCTAGTTTCCTCATCTATAAAATGAGGCAATAATAATGATTACTTCGTAAAGTTGTTCTGAAGCTTAGGTCTACAGGAAGAAATGAAAGACATTAATTAGTCTTGTCAGTGTTGTTCCCTAGTTATATATAAAAGGAGCTGGGCTGGTGAGAAGCATGTGTCTTACCAGAGTTGGGGTGGAATTTTAGGTCCTGAAGCCTTTGCAGTTCGAAGAAAACAATTTGGAGACTATTTAAATAAACCTTGTTCTGGGAGGCCAGGGAAGCTAAATGTCTGGCTCTGAATTTCATAGATGACTGAGAATAAGATCTTTTGCGGTGAAAAGGCAGATAGAGATAAAAGGAATCAAAAGAAACGCTGGAGGGCCTTTTGCAAGAACTGAGTAAGAACTACAGAATTACAGGACTTTTGAGCCACCAGGAGAGGCCAAAGCAGAATCTGCCCCTGCCGTTAGGCAGGACAGGGATTTGGGAGTCAAAGGTTCTGGGTATTCTGGTCTCAGTTTTGCTCCAGTGTTTCTGGACATCTGGCAACCTTTCCCCTCTCCACCTTCAGTTTCCCATCAGCACCGAGGAGATAATCGCTGCAGCTCTGTCCCCGGGCTGTTGCAAAACTGCTGGAAAGAATGACAGGCTGCCTCCCAGGGAACTGCCACCGCAATCGCCCTGCGGCCTCGCCCCAGCACATCAGAGAGCTGTGCTTCACCACGTCCTCAGCCTCTGCATTGTGAGACGGCAGAATCTGGGCCCCAGGGCGAGGTGGAGAGGACTGTTTTGCTAGGCTGGGCTGTACAACCCATCAGCCTCTATTGAAACCCCACAAAGAAAGCTGCTCAGCTCAGCTCTCCACCGATGCTTTCTGAGTTGAACCAATTGACTTTGCTAAAATATTCAGTTAAATTGTGACATTTGCCCACCTAATGTTTGGCTATAGGTATTAAATGGTTCCCCATCCATATGCCATTTATTTCCTGTCACCCAGACTGTTAACCCTGGCTTTTCTGTACCTGGTTACCCCAATCAAATCCATTCCTCATATTGCTCCAGAGAGTCTTCTAAAGTAAAGCTCCAATTAGGCTGTCTCTCTACTTAAAACCTAGTATTCACTGCATAGATTCTTCCCATTTAAAGCTCCTGGAGAGTCTTCACGGACTTTTTGAACACCCTGAAATGTAGCACACCTGACACTGTCTGCAAGTAAACCTTGATCAGATTCTGAGAGGGGCCTATAATCACCTCCTTCTCCCCCAAATACCTGCAAATCTCTGTGCACAAAATAAAGTCCAAGCTGCTTAATCTGAAAGGAATGCAAGGCAGTTCACAGTGTAGTTTTTACCTGCACCGTCTTTATTCTTGATATTTTAGCCCGAAGTGCTCAAAGGCATCCCACTATTTCCCACCTCCTTGACTTTACTCACGCTGTGTCC